CATCTCACTGGGCTTCCTTTCGTTTTCAAATAGTTTGTTTCTGTTAAAATTGGGGGCGGTGGGGTAGCCTAATGGTTAAAGCGTTGGCTCGTCACGTCGAAGACCCGGGTTCGAATCCCCACATGGGTACAATGTGTGAGGCCCATTTCTGGCGTCCCCCGCCGTGATGTTGCTGGAATATTGCTAAAAGCGGCGTAAAACCAAAACTCAGTCAGTCAGTCTGTCAAAATTGTATACTTTCAGAGATTAAGCGCTACTCTTACTGTGAAACTGTTACAAACACGTTAATGTGCGTGCATGTGCGTCTGGTATGAGTGTGTGTGTGTGTATGTTTTTCTGTACATGTAAATGTACTTTGAAGTAAGAAATCATTGCTTCCAGTGGGATAAAAGCCACTCTTACTGGTACACGAACTTCGTGTGGTATACATTCTCAATATGTAACGAGCACATTTCATTTTCTGACAATATAATATGTCACCAGCGTCTTTGTGTCATTATAAGCCAGCTTGCCGCCAACTTTGACACTTTACGTCTAAGTTAATGTGACGTCAGCGTAACTATGAAACGCTTGCCTCTTAACATAAACAACGTATATTTTCTCATAAATGACGGTATGTCCTTGTCTGCAGTTCATTTCCAATTCTTTGAAGTTAATAAATGGTGACGTTTTGTCGACACATGCTGGGAATTCCTTAAACGAGATTTTGCGAGACAAGGACGAGAGCAATGGCCGCGGGGATTCTGACAACGCTGCGTTCAGTTTGTCACTGGTGACGTTTTTACGGGCCGTTTTTACGATGGACCGAGCGAGAGGGGAGGGGGCATGAAGCTGCCTTGTATAATGTTAAAAGACGCACCCAGAAAAGTATATTCTCTTAAGTTTGTTTTATCGGCGTTGGTAGGAAAATGCAGCCAGTCTCGGGCTGAATATAATGCAAAGTGGTACCAACATAAAATAACTGGTAACAATTACATTATGTCCAAATCGATTTGCACAATAGGCAGGCCTCGAGTATGATATACGCCCCAATCGGGCACAGTCTACACTGAAAGCCTCAGTCATGTACTGGTGGGGTAGCCCAGTGATTAAAGCGTTCGCTCGTCACGCCGAAGGCCCGGGTTCGATTCCTCACATGGGTACGACTTGTGAAGCCCAATTCCGGTGTCCCCCGTCGTGATATTGCTGGAATATTGCTAAAAACGGCGTAAAACCATACTCAGCCAGTCAGTCATGTACTACAACCAATCATGCCAAGTATGCACCATAATTATGCAGGTTTGGGGCAAAGCCGTTTAGGAAAGATGCAATTTTTGCATTAACATCATATTTACTAGAGGGAGGTGGGGTAGCCTGGTGGTTAAAGCTCCGTTCGTCACGCCGCAGACCCGGGTTCGATTCCCCACGTGGGTACAATGTATGAAGCCCATTTTGTAGCCCCCGCCGTGATATTGCTGGAATATTGCTAAAAGCGGCGTAAAACTAAACTCGCTCATAATTACTATACATGTACTGTGACAGACGGTGTCAACCTGAAATCGTGGAAATGAAGACGGAAGTATGCAACAGCAAAAGAACCCAGTCTTGAAACAATACAAGACTAGCATCAACTCTCTGATATGAAAAAAACAACAAACAAAAGTCAGATATTGGTATGACATAATTTTAAGGTGTCTCGGAGAACGTTTCATTTTCGCTGAAACTGAACAAATGTAGACTTGCTTAAGCTTGGGAGGTTTGTTTTCGTCTATCTGACGCCGCCATTACATAAAATTCCGGCTGTGTTGTATGTTTGTGTTACATGCGCCGTTGATGACGTAGGTGCGTAATCGACTTGCGTTATCTCCAGTGTTTGATAGGTAGATATCCGATCGGCTGTGGATTTCCTGCACTCCTGAAAATGTGGCTATCGTTGTACACAGGGCAACCTCATGCGGAGTAGCCCCTTCCTCTGGTGTGACCTTTAGATATGTTGTGATATGTTAAGTGGACTATTCAGGAAGTGTTTGTGAGACTTTGAAGAAATGTTCCTTCTCGTTAATAACATCAGCTGCGTATGTCACAGTACTCTAAGGCTACGTAATTCACAGTGATGAGGGGCGGTGGGGTAGCCTAGTGGTTAAAACGTTCGCTCCTCACACCGAAGACAGTGGGTATAATGTATGCAGCCTATTTCGGGTGTTCCCCCCTGTGACATTGCTGGAATATTGCTAAAAGCGGCGTAAAACTATACTCAATCTTTACGATTGATACCTGCGATCCTGCAGGGCCTAGATTTTCGAAGCTCTCCTATAGCGCTAAGATAGTCGTAAGTTAATGTTAATGTATGGCACTTGCGCTATCGTAGCGCTACGATAGCTTTGTGAAACGGGTCCCTGGTTCGAATCCAAGATTCGCCCTAATTCAGAGACTCATCCTTTCTGAGTTGCGGTTAGATTTAAAGACGCTTTCGTAAGAACCATGGCAACGGACTACTGAATCAGTACTGATGCCGGATGGTTTTAGTCGTCTTTCCAAATGCCTTTGAAATCGGCCTATAGTTTGACAGACTCAGATTTCATGTATGCTCGCAGCCGGGCTACTGCTTGAGTTGTAACAGTGTGCCGTAAAATAACACTCACTCGCATCTCTGATCTCCGATACTGTTTGAAACAAAGTATCCAAGACAGTATACATGTAGTTGGAGAGTTTTAATGTTCGCATTCAGCTGAAAATGGAGAGCTGATTCTTCCATGTCTCAAAACCAGGATGGAAAAAACTAGGGAAAGGTGAAGAAATATCTTGTCTTTTTTCACATGTGTCGAAAATTCTGGAAATATTAGTGAGTGAGCGAGTTTAGTTTTACGCCACACTCAGCAATATTCCAGCTATATGGCGGCGGTCTGTAAATAATCGTGTCTGACCAGACAATCCAGTGATCAACAGCATGGCCATCGATCTGCGCAATTGGGAACCGATGACTTGTGTCAGCCAATTCAGCGAGCCTGACCACCCGATCCCGTTAGTCGCCTCTCACGACAAGCATGGGTTACTGAAGATCAATATTCTAACCCGGACCTTCACGGGTCTGGAAATATTAAAGTATTGACATTGATCTACTTTTTATTCGTCCAAGATACCACCAATATCTCGTGGACTGTTGAGAAAACACCATGTTCTTCTTGGTGTTCACAATCACTGAAACACACGCAGGACCACAACGGCCTTTCGGCAAGACGCTGCTTTTTTGTTGTGCGCAGTTGGCGCTTCAGAACCAGTGACTGTGGGTTCGAATCCCATCATGTTTCAAGGATTGTCAACACAAGTTTAGGTTTCACCGAATTGGGAAACGTGTGAGACCTACATTTCCTGTTTCTTCCCACATTGTGCTGACGCAGCCTCGGTGTGACTGGAATGCCGTGAAACCCACTCACTTATAGATCTGGCACCAGTGGAAGCAGCTAAAATGGTCAGATCTCTATGCCGTGGAACAGTTACAAGTCAACATGCCATTAGATTATCAATTTGACTTTCTGCATATCACGAGTACGTCAAATTGTCAAAACTAATGTGTAAGTAATACTTTTAAAAAGTGATATTTTAGAAGCAAAAAATAACTTGAACTTATCATTTACAATGCCACAACACAAAATCTTAAGTTTCATTTCAAGAGACAAAGTGTGATAATTCAACTAAACAGGAGGGGCGATAGGGTAGCCTATAGTGGTTAAAGAGTTCGCTCGTCACGTCGAAGACCCGAGTTCGATGCCCCACATGTACAATGTGTGAAGCCCATTTCTGGTGTCCCATGACCGCCGTGATATTGCTAAAAGCGGCGTGAAACTAATCTCTCTCACTCAACTAAAAGGAGTTGTGCAGTTGCAATGTGTGATATATCTGCTTATCTATTCTATTGTTGTCAGTCGACGACACGTTAAAAATGTAGATTTGACACTATCTTTATACTGAAAACCCATACCGCCAACGATATTGCATGTTTTTTGCATGTAGGCAACCTTGATCTATCATCAGTCTGAATATCTGTTTACATTATTCCTGTTGATAAACTGTATTAGCATAGTCTAATACACGTTATCATAATAGTTGCCATAATAAATATTGATAGGCTTTAACATGATTACTCTGCCATGTCAATTGTGAAAATAGATATCCATGGCAGAAATTAATCATATATCATCATGACAATAATTCATATCCAAAAAAACATTGGATGATTAATATAAACTTCTAATAGAGCAATAATATCGTCATATTCGGGTTATCATCAACCGTGTGACCCGTGAAGATCCTGCTTGCCATAAAAGGCGACTATCTTGTCGTAAGAGGCGACTAACGGGATCGGGTGGTCAGTTTCGCTGACTTGGTTGACACATGTCATCGGTTCCCAATTGCGCAGATCGATGCTCATGCTGTTGATGACTGGATTGTCTGGTCCAGACTCGATTATTTACAGACCGCCGCCATATAGCTGGAATATTGCTGAGTGCGGCGTAAAACTAAACTCACTCACTCACTCACTCACTCATCAACCGTGTTGACAACGGTAAATATAAACATTGCATCGCAATAGCACGTGTTGTTGATATAGACAACAATCAACACGCTCCCATCACTGTAACGGGATCACGTATCAGCAGGTTTACAGAATCGATCAGCGTAGAAATCGTGACCAAAATGTTTTGAAATATAAGCCGGTGAATCAGAAATTGCGAAATTCTCGACAAGAGGCCTGTGGGGCTCCCCCCACGTTCCCGCTGATGTTCACCGGCTGACTCACCTCGCGCGACTGTCACCAGGATCAAATCGCTGGCTGTTATAGTCGTCTATAAATAGTAACATTAATCTATTATCATAATATATCCCATGTAAGGCAAATAATACCGGCACTCATCCAATCAGCGCCGAGGATTCCCAGAAGCGACGATTTATCTTATTGGTCAATGAACATTCCTCAGATTCCTTTGGCCTGTAAACGGACTTTTCATTGGCTGCTTTCCTACGTTCACACAACCGTGTATGCAATGGCGAGTGTTTAACGATAGTGTGTGTAGTCTGTAGATCTGTATTGACAGCGGGTTGTGTTGGTCCTGCAAGCTTCATGTCTGACGCGAGGTGACGAAACTTGCCGGTTGCTACTGTTTCAGCCATAGGGCAAAAATGGATGTATTACCAAGTGGGAATATTTTCCGGGAGCTACAAGTCGTCCACGATACGGGTTATTTTAGCTCTCAACCATCACTTGAAGACACTTGGCAACAGGTTGGGACTTGAAACTCGTATTTGTCTGTTACCTTTAATTCATGTACTTGTCTCGATCCGCGTTCGGGATCTGTTTGATATGTCATAACGCCCAGTCATACGAAAGGTCATAAGCCAGATGACATCTCATGGCGACCCGGAACATAATGTTTAATACATCCTGAAGTTGAAATTAGCATGACAGACGTGACTTACATTTTGACAGATCACGCCATATTTAGTCATGAGGGTATAAAAAGTCATGATAACTGTCATTTATCTATCTTGAGTAACATCATGATAAACATCACCCAATTTTTGCATAAATGTTCGACTGATAGTTATGTTTATTAAGCAGATGATCACGAGTGTTCGATATGTGGTAACCTTTTCCTGTCTGTTTTGCACGTGAGAAAATCATATTGCACCCCTTTTTAATTCCTGTATTCCCCAACCTTTAGTTGTTGGTGTATAACATGCCATAAACACAAACAAACAAATTAACATGCATGTGTGTGTTGTAATCAGTAGTGTTATCAACAAGTAGGAAGTGGTGTCAATGTCAATATCTGACAGTGATTGACTGATTTCCGCAGTAACCTCAACAAACACGTGTTTATTTCATAACAAGGACTGTGTTATTTTTAATTTCAAATATAGTTTCACTGTACAAATATCAACCAGGAAGTTTATCAGATACTGATTTTTTTTCATGTTTGGACAGTCACAATTTCAAGTCAAACAACCTTTTTCTCATTATAAATATGACATCACATTTATGACTATGATGTCATTATGTTTATGCATTTTAAGGACTTGATTATATGTGTAGTTAATTTGTCAAAGAATAGTCATTATTGATGATCTCATGTTTCAACATGAGACTGAGTCAGTTGTTGGAAATTGAATATGTAACTGTGAGGTCAGTGACATTGGAATTTCCTACCGATTCTTCTCCTCACATCGTGGTTTTATGACAGAAGTAAAGTGGCAATTCTCTTTAAGTGACATCTTTCATAGGGTCAGCTGAATAACGATAAGCATGACTCATGGCAATATACATGATATACATACCACATGCGAGGCAGTGACAGCTGGGAATATGACCAATGGCAGTGTTATAAGCACCTATATACACCAACCGATTTATTCCTCTTGCTAAGAGAAGGTAGTGTCAGTTTCCTGTTTATAAGCACATTGTTTACAATATATGTTGTACAGTTGCACATTAGAAGGCCTGTAGTTATTATTTGTGCATTTTGGAAAAGAATTGCCATGAATGAGAAATTATTGAATTATTGTGAACCATCAGTATGTACTAAATGGCATTGTACCCTTGAACCTTTCTAATATGATCCTGTTGATATGTTTTATGAGATACTCGTTTCTCATATTTTTATGACAATAGGTGAATTGGAAAGTTTAATAATTCGACAACAACAGGGAAATTGGAATGTTTAATAATTTGACAACAAGAGGGAAATAGAATGTTTAATAATATGATGATCATTTTAAGGACATTCTAATAATTTCATCATGAAATTAAAGGCATTTACATGCTCCATGAATATTATTGTTAGGAAAGTACCAAATGAAGTTTCATTTTCAGATGACTGACACATTATATTCCATAGTACATGATTTTATCGAGAACGCCAGAATCGCACTACACTGAGGGAATGTCAAAGCATGTATGAAAGCTATCTGAATATTCAAGAGTGGCATCGGTAGTGAAACATAAACCCATTCATGACCTACCAAGGTTAAAGGTTACTGTACGATAGATGTCAGGGTCATCTTCAAACAGACAAGCTCTGTCTGGTTAAAAAACGTCCTATATTACCACGGAGCTGTTCTAGTGTATCAGCATACATCATGCCCTGCTGAGCGTACCATGTGCATTACATCTCCCAGCATCCTTCTCCATGCCGCTGCATACACTGTATCTATTGCAGTGGAATGCATGGCTCAGTGGTGCAGTCAGCCCCCCTTACTGCAAGGAACGTTTAACATTGGGATGTATCATCCTGCATGGCAGGTGCCCTTGCAGACTGTGCGCATCCTTCATCAAGGTGTACATTCCTCCCTATCCTCATAGGGGAGGGGGATTAGCCTTGAGCTGGTGGGGATCTAAATTGGCAGATAGGGGTGATGGTATGTGGTGCAAGTGAATTTGCAGTGGATGATTTTGGTAGTAGTTCGTGGAGTGATGAGTTCAGGGGAGAGAACTCATGGGTCAGTTTGGTGTGAGTGAGTGAGTATGGTTTTACACCGCTTTTAGCAATATTCCAGCAATATCACGGCATGGGACACAAGAAATGGGCTTCACACATTGTACCCATGTAGGGATTTTTCTGAAACACTCATGTATATTCATGCTTTATTACAGCGGTCTGGAAAGTCTGGATCAAACAATCCGGTGATTCATATTGTCAGCAATGTTGCATGATATGGTATATAATGAAATTGACAAATGACACCATGACGTTTGATCTACACAGTTAGGATGACTTGGCATTGACCACATATACATGACATTGTCTTGTATGACATGTACCGTTTGCTGGGGACTGTTGAGGTTAGAAAATAACTTACTGTGCTTCGGTATGATGGTATCAATATCAACAATGCTCATTAAGTCCTTCACAGGATTGTCTGGTCCAGACTTGTAGCTACAGATCACTGTCATATAACATGAACATTGCTAAGTGTCGCTTAAACAACAAAGCAGTAAACTTATAAATTAATAACATTAAACTGCAATGGTTTAGTGATATTAGTACCAAGACATTCATAATCCGAAGACTAAAATACAGATTGTGCTTTGAGCTTGTGGATGGATACATCGCTTTATAAATACTCATCATCATTATTATTATTATTATTATTATCACAGCTGTAGCACTATGATAGCTCTGTGGCACTGGGCCCATGTCATGGCGATAACTGACCAACATTGCCGTCACTTTGTAGCACCTGCACCAATGATTGGTATTCATTGACAGTGGAGTGGGTCGACATGTAGGTCTCAGATCATGTCCTGGAGTAGGGCCTCATGACTGATGTATGTTTAGAGCCTGAATAAGGTAATAGAATAATGATGAATGATATAGAAACATGATCAGCTGATGATCACTCCAAACTTTCTCGGGCAGTGGGGTAGCCGAGTGGTTAAAGCATTTGCTTGTCATGCCGAAGACCTGGGTTCGATTCCCCACATGGGTACAATGTGTGAAGCCCATTTCTGGAGTCGCCCACCGTGATATTGCTGGAATATTGCTAAAAGCAGCGTAAAACCAAACTCACTCCAAACTTTCATTCCAAGCAACTATCTAAGATTTGAAAAAGGGGCGTGTGATACCCAGGTCAGCTTGCTGTTTACATACAGTGTATCTGAAAAAAGGTATACACACCACCCGCCTGGCTCCGACTGTACAATGTGCCAATTATACTACCACACTTACCACAGCTGCATGGATGCTGTGCAACAGATAGGTTACACCTCTGCAGCGTGACGCTCTTTACTGTTTGCTTGGCGTCACCATGTTGCAGATATTTCAGTCAGCATACACCATAATTTAGCTTAATCAGAAACCAAACTCTGAAAAATACCTGATTTAAATAGTGCAATACTATACAGACATACTTTATGGATAACAACCTTAGAATCTGTATCGAAAAGTTGCACTCATGCAATTTACAAGTTGTTTTCCATATTTGTCCATGTTGCACTTCCCAACATCTAAAATGCCACTCAAAGAAGTTATTGTAATACTGCCTGAGCCAATGTCCATTTTTAATTGGATTGAGAACAACAGTAGTTTGTGCCTCGTTAGATCCAATTAACACGTGTCTACCTGGCTGATACTGCCTAGTAGTATGCAGGTGATGGAACAGGTGTGTTCTAGCATTAGCACTTCCAACAGGTGTAGGAAGGTGTGAAACAATCACTGCTGGATAGTACGCAGTCTGGATTAGGGTTTTAGAATACTAATCAGACTGTTTGTTTGGGAGGTGATTAATACACTGCTGGCTGTGATATTTGGTGTTATTCAGTAAACAAGCTGGCAATATCTCCTGTGGTGTCTGTATTGGAAGGATGAGGAATGTTGTTAGAATTGATGAAATTGGTTTAAAATATTCATTGTGGTTATCATTGTCAATGGTGAAATATTCATTGTGGTTATCATAATGGTGTGGGTTTGTGAAAGTATTGCTTTAGCCATATGCATAGCAGGACTTCCTCACCGCAGTATATACATTTTGGTTGACTGTTGTTTTCTAGGGACTGTGCCTTTTGAAAATATGTCTTTCAGGCTACAACTGTTTAGTACAAATTATTGTAAATCCATTTTCACACCTTTAACTTAAAAATACAGCACTTTTGGCCTTTATACTGAAAAACTGATTATACTTCCTCCTTACAAGTTTATTAGCTCCACCGGCATGGTTGTTTGAAGTTACTGGGGTAGCCTAGTGGTTAAAGCGTTTGCTCGTCCTGCTGATGACCCGGATTCGATGGGTACAATGTGTGAAGCCCATTTCTGGTGTCCCCCACCATGTTATAGCTGGAATATTGCTAAAAGCTGCGTAAAACCATATTCACTCACTGTTTAAAGTTGCTGCCCTGATAAATGTCAAGTTTGTCAGTGTATTAGTCAAACCATTTTCATTTCAAGGAATTAGTGGGAATTTTATGTCAAACTATGGTATCCTTTTGATTAATTTATAGGATTAAAATGGTATCATCCGTTGGAACCTAAATAGTGCAGAAGTCATCCCACTATCATAGTTCATATAAATATACTCATCTTACAGCCAAGGCCTACATGGAGCACACCTTGGTGTAATGCTAAGTCATCTAGTTATATACAACTATTGATGGGTGGTGTGTGTAGCAATATGACAATCATATATTAAAATGCTGTCCATGAGTTTCACAGTGACTTATTCAACTGACAGCTGTTCTGCTCAAGGTGTTTAAATGTTTCAAAACAGCTGTGAAAACAGCTGGAGCTGTT